ATTTAAAAGCATCTCGTGGGAATGACTTCTAAGTAAGTAAAAGCGGAATATGAAACACTAAACGCCACTTTATCAGATGGATTCTCCTCAAGCTCTGCCCAAAGATAAATCCTAATCTAAAATTAATTAAGGTCAATTTTTAATTAGACTTTCCAGATATTGTCAAATGTCTTTTTTTTAAAACAAGTTCAAAGTCGCTTCGGTCCCTGAGAGCTTGATCAAACTTATCGCGATAACCATAAAAAGCTTGGTCGGCTCTTCTTCCAACTGAGGCAGGTGCATCATGCCAATTGAAACTCCGACAATAAATCTTTACTTAATATTCTGGTGATGACCATTATGTTGCTTGTTTCAAATGACGGTATTACTGAATGGTCTAGATTGACCTTTGGTGGTTACGTCATAGACTTCACGAGTTTCCTGAAGTACATCCACGCCAATTGTACCCTCGAAAACAAGTTGTTGGTGTATCTTCGTACTGTGCACTCTCATGCTCATGTTGAAAGTGGGTCTCGTCATAAGGTCCAGATTTGCCACCTGTGGTCATACCATAGACGCTGTATGTTGAGAGGAACAGACCTTTCTCCAAAGGAGGGAAAACAGCCACAATCTCTTTTCGTGAAAAACCTTATCCTGACACTTGACAATTGAACACTTTCTCCGTAACTTTCACTAAAGCGGCTTAAGTCAAATGAAAATCAATAATGATGTTGCTTAGACTTAAAAGCTGTACAGGATCACAATTCATGAATACAAGCACTCAAGTTGATCAGAGAGGCTTTCTCACTTCAGCTAAAGCTTTCGCCGGTGACCGCAACGGACCATAAAGGCCAAAGTAGCGACAAAAAGATCAATTGTTATCCACACAATTTATGCATTACACATTAGCAAATCTTCAGCTCACTATATCAGCCTAAATAAGCCCCAAAAACTAAAGGAAATTGCCAGTATTCGTGCGGCCTTCTTAATCTTTTGCTCTGCTTAGACCTTTCTCAATTAATTGGTCCATTCAACATTTTCTCTAGTTGCACCAAGCAAAAATTCTGTGACGCTCAATAACATAAAGAACATTATTGATTATGTAAATATAAACTATTGTACTTCATGCGCGAGAAAAAGTTAAGTCTGCACACATGGGGCGGATCAATCTTAGCTCTGAAAGATACGGTAGACCTTCGAGGGCCAGTTTTTTCTTAATTTTTTTTCATGTCAAACAGAACATTATTATTTTAACTATAGCTTCCAAGAAAGATTTTGGTAAAATATTAAGACGCGCACGAGTTATTTACAAAAACATATTTTCGAATTGAATTATACCGCCCGCCAAAGTGTGAATAGCCAGTTATAACATGTCGACAAAGGTGACTACCGACGGGCTTTGTTTGCGGCTAAAGATCTTGATCCATGAAATCCAATCGCGTAAACATCTCTTGATTTTCGGTCGCAAGAGAAGATCTTTGCTATCTTTCTGCGTTAAAAAGTAAATGCGAACGGAGAAAGATAAAAAAGAAAAGATTTCATCGGTGAAAGTAAAAGAGGAGCCTGGCTGTCACTACAAGAACTAAAGAACTTCGACGCGGAAAGGCAAAAGAATCTTGCCGAAACGGATAGGGGCTCGTGGTTTCGACAATCTTCGCTGCTCGCACTCGATAAGCAACCACAAGGTTTGCCGCGGCTTGTCTAAGGTGCTTACGGTTGAAAATAAAAAGAGGTGAAATAAAAATTATCGTTCAGCAAAATTCAAATAAAGGTCTGTCACAGGAAACTGTTTCATAGCTACCAGCAAAGTGTTTTCGCTCCGAGTTTCCTGAGACTCTGCAGGGCGCCTCTGTGTTTCTGTTAACATGACATGTTGTCACCCAAAAGTGTGAATTATTGGGAAAACTTTGAAAGCAAAAAAGGAAACCTACTACGTTTTTACGCGAATGAGCCTTCTTTGAACGAATTCATAGGGTATGTAAACTTAACGGATTGCCTGGAAATTTGGTCCGAAGACTCCCAACAGACCAATCTTATTAAACAGCGTTGGGGGTAACTCCGTTTTTCAAAATAGATCTCCTCCAATGGCCTCCGACGTAATGCGCATCGGTAAAATTTTGATCAGCAAACTTGACAAATGAATTGCAAAGTAACCAATGAAAATATCGAAAAATTCCCCCCACTGCTTTGAAGACCAACTTCTCAGGATCGTGCAGAAGTCTTATTTGTGTGGTCAGATTTGATGTGCGATGAATTCGCTCATAAATTTTTCATTGATATATAGTTTATGGTGGTTATGCTTCAAAAAACGCATTTTTTTTTTCGAAGGACATCCGCGAAGGTCTAGCGTATCCTGAACTCATTGCTTGGGTTTAATACCTACAAGCTGAAACTGAAGCGGAAAGCAGTCAAACTGATGCGATAGATTCCCGGAAGTTAATTTGGCCCTCGCCAGTTAAAAGCGATGACCTTCGCGGTATATTCAAGGTACAATAGCATGAGGAAAAATTGAATAAGTTATCCCAGAGATGTTTGTCATTGATGTCGGTTGGTACTTTGCTTGCTATGCTGATCTTATTTGCCTAGGTATCGGAGATGGCCTTTCACAGTCGGCGCCGATCATCTCCATATCCACTCAATCCAATTGTCACCATAGCTTCATGGTTAAGAAGGTGATGTTTCACTTTGCTGAGGCAACAATTGCGATTGACTGAATGATCATCTGGCGGTAATTAGATGACGGCTTACTTTATGTAATATGATATTTTATGCCGTTAACTAACGGCGTAATTTTCTCTAGTCTGCAATGTATATACTGTAAATTTTACGCCGTTAATATAATTCTTTTAGATATTAATTTATTGCTGCGAGCATTAACGAGCAGCAACACTATTTTTTACTTCCCGTGAGAGGTTTGGGCTCTCTCTCTACAAATGTATATGTATATATGCGTTCCACACTCCATCCGTTGAAATGTGACCTTCGTTCGTTCGGTAGCGATGCTTTTGAAGATGCAGTATTAAGATCAGCGGTGGTAGTTGTTGAATTGTGCGTGCGCTGCCCGCATGGTCCTATGTTCCTGCCATCAAACCCTCGAGAGTTCAACAGTCGACCAGCGGGTAAGTTTTTATCGCTCTTTTTGAACTGATGTATCATGTCAAATGCAATTCTATCAATCGCTAGAACTATTCATCGAGGTCAGGAACGATTTTATGACATTTCCGGGGGAAGGCAATGCTCTTTTATGAGTTTTTCAGCGCTGTTGTGTGCACAATCATGTCCAGTGCGGCACTGGGATACTGCTACAGTTGACCAGATTTAATCGAAGGAGACATGATATACTTGAATGCCCTTGAAAGTCAAAATATTTTTGATACAGAGTCATTAACTATTATAGCTTTGCTAATCTTGTAGAAGCTTGAGCTTTTGATCAGCCGTCAAACTACAATGTTCCGTGCTTAATTGATTTCCCTCAAGAATAATTAACTAGATTGAGAAATAGAGATTAACAGATTATCAAATATGTGGGAAAACACCTTGACATTTCTTACATCCTATTAATAGCAGAGTTCGTGACACGCGCAACGCGCAGAGCGTAACCCCATAATTATACGAGATAGTAGATGCTTTATAAGATCACGCATAACCAGTCGACCTCATCGCCTGAAGAAGACTTGCAGTATGCAGTCGAAACGTCGCGATCTACATCACACGTGACTACATCGTGAGACAAACGAAAAACTGAGCTTTTATTGTTATTCACCACAATGAATAACCACAACCTTTTCTTATTAGTGTTTCCTCTTATCCTCACATCATGCTTTGCCGTATCTCTTGTGAAATCACCCATGAATTCACGCCCAGGATCAACCTGAAGAACTTTTGGCCATCTCAATGGTCCACGCCTGGAATATTAATTAGGTTGTCACTGATGGTGTCTCTCAGCCAGGTTTCTGTGAAAAAAAAAGCTAAGTCCAGTCTCCAGTCTAAGATGACTGACTGTACTTCGGGGCGTTAGACATGGTGTTAGCAAGGAAAAGGCTGACGCCGTGTTCCTTGTGCTCTGCTTGACGAGATGGCGTATTCCCAGTAGAAACTCTTGAAAGAATACGTCCGACCGCTCTTTTTTTAACACCCGCGGGACACTCGGGCCGGACCCGCGATATCAATGGAGTAAGCAATTTTCAAATATCAAAATATTTAATGAAATCTCAAAATTTTACAAACGAACCTGTATTAAGCACAGCTTCACCAGCAACTGACTAGCGTGTTGTTCGTGCATAATATTTGTCCTAACAATCCAAAGAAGCGAGATAATCGATTCCGTTGAGGAAATACATGAATTCAAATAACTAGCATCGATTTTGGGAGATAAACATGGACCAAATTTTATTTGAGAGATTATTCTTAGTTTAACTCTTTTTAGTTTTCAACATTTATAGTTCTTCAGGCAGCCCTGTTATTATCTTGTAGCCTTTCCGATCGACTTCCTGCATGATAATTATCAAAATGATAATATCTTTTACCTGGAACGCCTTTCAATTAAATTTTAAAAATACAAAAAAGTAACCAAGACGACCAATAGAACAAGGAAAGGAAACTAGAACACTCGCATAGCAAACAGAAGGGTATAAATCCGTCACTGCTTTCCTGATATCAGTGATCCCCGGCGACTGAACTTCTAAAAAACCAAGAAAGCTTCGCAGGACTTGCTTTCACTCTTCTCTTATGCATCGCAATATTCTCAAAAGTAGGAGCAAATCTATGTTACACTTTCAAAGATTTTTTATAAACTCTTATGTGAACAATAGAATAGAATAGAAATCGTATTTAACATAGCTTTATTTGGATAATAACATCGCAGTCCGCAGACTGAATCGTGTTAACATACAATACTGATAAAATTGAAAAGTTGATCATAATTATTTGCAATAATGGTAGGATTTATGATATACAAATAATATAAAATGCTATGGGTACAAATGTTACAAAAAATATCAAGGTTGGTTGCTATAGCATGAATAAGGTATTTTAAAAACGGTCGGTGCGAGTTGCAATACGCAAATGAAACTTCAGGCGTGTAAACAATGGCTTTCCAGCTCTAAAAAAAACAAAAACAGGTGGATATCAAAGGTCTCAGTTGCATGATCGAAAGTTCTCGAAAGTTTGGTAAAACCAGTTATTTTAATTTGATTATCGGCTGTGTCAACAATAAAACTAGATTCAGAAGCAGCTAGTTGTCTGTATTTTTACTAAAGTACGAGAAATGTTTAATTTCCTAATAAATGCTCTCTTTCCTAAAAGCCAATCAAATCGCACAACTGACATTTCATAGGACAATCGAAATCTGCGTTATAAAAGTCAAAGTCAAGTTCAAAATTGGGACAAGCGCCAACACCTTTAGAAAGAAAGGATTTCCACTGATTGCCGATTTCCTCCGATGTTGGTAATTTTGCATAAGGTTAATTATCGAATTACTTCTCGTAAAAGAAAATGCAAGTCTCATATAAAACAATAACTAGCGAGTTTCGTTTATCGGTTTCTTATGTCTAAATGCACGACATGAGTTCTCATTCCAAAAATGACATTTCTCATTTCTTTTTGTCTCCAGCAGTAAATCAGTGGATTAACAAGCGAGTTTAGCATGGCGCATGTAAGTATCGATGGTAAGTTTATGGGGAAAATATTATAAAGGCCCGTGACTATAAAAATAAAAAAGAAACCAACTGGAAGAAGGAAAACAAGAACAGCACCAACGACAAAGAGAGTTGTTTTAAGTGCTTTGTTCTCTTTCAGAAATCTTTCCACATCTTCTTGGGGCAGTTGTTGAGTTTTTATCTTCTCTTTGTGGCGAGCAGTTTCTCGATACATGATGAGGTAAGCGAAAGTAAGAAAGAGAATACATGAAATGGTGAGTAGGCCTGTGAAAGAACGTGCTGCTAGGACTTTTTTCATTCCTCTTAAAACCCCATAAATGGACGCAGTGATCCAAACTACTATCACTGCTATCTTCATATTCTTCTCAGTTATAATGTTTGAGTACTGCATTGTAAATTTGATAGCTATGAGTCTCTCGAAAGTAACCAACATCAGATGAAAGTAGGAAGCAACAAGGGTAGTAAGTAGAGACGAGATAAAAGAAATTCCAACCGTTTCACTGTTACTGAGACCGAATGTTAGGAAAATTCTCCACAGGATAAACAATGGCTGGCCAAGGAGACCAGTCAATGCGTCAGTCACCGCTAAACAGGCCAGCAAGATGTTGTTGTTGGTACGGAGTCGAGACGTCGTTTTCACAGCCTTTATCACAAGTACGTTGAGAATAACTGTGCAGGGAAAAGTGATGGTGTTAATGATGATTATGATTATAGAATCAGCCATCGATGAGACATCTCTGTCGCCTTCTCTTCTGGTGATATTTGTAGTGTTTATAAAACTAGTCAAGGAAAAGTTTACCATGTCGAATTGGAATCTCAGTGCAAGTCATGTCTGACCCTCGGACCAACTTTTTCAACCCGTCGCTCTCGCATGAAATCGGAGAACGGCAAAGGTAAAAGAAACCTACAGCCTTTTCTAGTGAGTGGTTTAAACATCTCCTGGGAATAACTTCTCACTTCACATATGCCCAGCAACAATACAGAACAAAACTGAATCAGAAACTCTCAACGCTGCCCAATCAGATCGATTTTTCTCAAGCTTTTCTCATTAGTAAATTTTAATCCAAAAGTGATTGAGGTAAATTTCAATTAGCCTTTCTAAGTTTAGGGCACATATCAAGACAAAAAAAGTCAAAGTTTCATTGAAAACAATTTATGAACACATAACTTGTCATTTGACAGCGTTTCGCAGGCCTATTGCGATCCTTATCTAAGATTATAACGCATAATCGGCGGAAATGACTTTCGAAAAAAAGTCATAGGTTTTGTTCCGTTAGACTTAAAAGTATTCCTTAATTTTTTCCACATTTGCAAGTAACTCTCTGAAGCAAATTTATAAGCTATTTTTCTTGACTTATGTTAGTAGCAATTATTGTAAAAATACCGAAAAATGAAGCTTAATGACTTAACAATAGGTATCTTTTGTACAAAAATATCAAGAAATTTAAGTAGTAACTTTTGAAATGTAGGCAACAATTTTTGAAATTTAGGCGGCAACTTTTGTAGCAATTTTCTTAAGCGTTTTAGAGAGGAACTTTCCAGCATTTCACGAGCACCGGTCCCACCTTCTGTGCGCCGTGGTTTCATAATTGCGTTGTAGTTCCACCTTCTGTGCGCCGTGGTTTTATAATTGCGTTGTAGTAATGAGCAAAACCCTTTACTTTTTCCGTGCAAAATTCCCTAATTTAAATCAACCAAACAGTGTGAGAGCAAGAAAGAAAAAAAAAACGGTTTGAGCATACCCGATCTAAAAATCAACTCATTCACATTTTTGAAATGAATGTTAACTGTGCAACGAGAACTACATCGAGAAAACGTTGTTTACCTGTTTACGGAAGTTGTTGGAGTTTTGTTTTACGATCGATAACACTTTGGAATAAGTAGATAAGTCATAGCGTCATTCTTCATTACGGGAATTCAGTCGCCTAGCTTGGGGATAAATACCCTTAAGATTTATTCTTTGAATTTCTCCATCCAAAGTAAGGTATGTCATGACTATCCGAGAATACCAAAAAAAACTTATCTTTCCTCTGATTGCCGTTCTCTTTGATTTCATAACTTATGAAAATCTATTTCACGTCCTGAATTAATGGTATTACCTAAAAAATTTCAACCATAAAATTATCTGAATAAGAGTTGAATTATCAAAAACAGATCCCAAGTCTTTAAACTATTTTTTATTGCTTTTATTCGTATTTACATCTCATCGCAGGCAATATTGTTACGGTATAGTTTAACTGACAGAAAGAACGCTAACATTCCACACACACCTAATTATTTTATCAAACAACGAGCAATATTCTTATTAAGGAGCGACTCCTGCAGGCAATACAGTAATTATCCTTAATAAACTCGCTTAAGCCCGTTACAGACTATAACTTAACTCACCATTGACACAATCTCACAGTTGTCGACAAATCTGCTTGAAACAAAATCTCGGAAATATATCACAGTAACTCTATCGACGTATTTTTCCAGACAATCGGTCACTGCCGACAACAACAACAATAACTACAACAGGGCTGATCCCTCATACACATTTTCAACATATTCTAGAACATTTCGGAAGCTTACAACACAACTAGTTTGGTAGTATTACAACATAACTACAAAATCTAATAGAATGTTCTAGAATGTTTCACAATAAGACAGTAGAAAGTCCATGAAAGCATGTTCGCACGACTAGGCATTCTAAAACTTTCCAGAAACTTAAAAGAATGATCCACGAACAATGAAACCTAACAGATTTATGGGAAATATACGCACGTTTGCATATGTATACACGTATACATGACAATCCTTTTCTTTCAGGGAAGATTGGATAGTTTCCACCATTCATTGCGTACAACAAACGGTGGTTATCATGTACATCTGACCCATAAGGCCACAGGGTCTAATCTTTCATTGTAACCCTTTTTAGGTGTCAACTTGTTTTGCAAAATATATCAACTTTGTTTTAGCAGTAGAATCATTTCCTTTGATCCTCCCAAATTTGTTCAAATGAACGTAAATAAATTATTATAAAAATACATATCAACCCAACAAAAATCGAATTTAACTGTATCTGTTCCAGAACATGAGGGTGAAGACTGCACATCTCATGAATGGGAAAACTTGAAATTGAAAATACTTTTATGGAGTGCCAGATTCCACTAATTTTTAATGGAAATTTACAGTTAAATAGCTCTTCATTACGCTACATTATTTGATACTGTTCAAGCTAATTATGATAAAAAATCAAATGCTTCTTGGAAAAGAGGAGAATGCTCTATCTCTACACGTTTTCAGATTAGCCACGAGCTCGTGAAGCAAAAGTTTCCCGGACGATCTTTTTAAGCAACCCTCTTTGTTGTATTCAATAATTACATCCAAACCCGTGACGCAGTCGTGGGTTTGCATGACTTTCGAGACAAATGAAGGAAAATGACAAATGAACGCAATGTTGTTTATCTATTTCTTGATTGATGTAGATTTTCTTAATACATGCCTCTGGACGATATGGTTTTCTACCAGCCAATCAAATCGTGCAACTGGTGGCTCACAAACCAATCATAATTCGCGTTATAAAAATCAAATTCAAGTTCAAATTTGAGGCAAGTGCCAGCATCCTTTGAATGCAATAATTACGACTGATTGCCGATTCCAACGATGTTGGAAATTTTGTATGAGGTTGATTATTGAATTACCTGTCGTGATCAAAATCTTAAATGTCGCATAAAACAAAAACTAGCGAGTTCCGTTCATCGAAGGGATGGAGAAGGCCAACGCAAAATCTAGAAATGTAGGTATCAAGTTGTTCACATTTTTCTTTACATTCCCTCCTTCACTGTATCTCTAAATGCACGACCTGGTTTCTTATTCCAAAAATGACCTTTCTCATTTCCTTTTGTCTCCAACAGTAAATCAGTGGATTGACAAGCGGGTTTAACATGCCACATGTAAACACTAATGATTTGTTCATTGGGAAAATGATTGTGCTCTCAAGGCCTGTAGCTATAATAAAAATCCAGACAAAAAGTGGAAGAAGGCAAATAACGACAGCACCAACTACAAACAAAGTTGTCTTCAGCGCTTTGTTCTCTTTGGCAAATCTTTCCTTTTCTTCTTGGGGCAATTGTTGATTTTTTACCTTCGCTTGGTGGCGACGTGTTTCTCGATACATGATGCAGTAACTAAAAGCAAGGAAAAGGATACAGGATAGAGTAAGAAGACCTACCAAAGAAAGTGCTACTTTGACCATTTCCATCCCTCTTAAAACCCCATTCATGAACGCAATGATCCAAACTACTAACACTGCTATCTTAATGTTATTGTCCGTTATAATGTTTGAGTATTTCATCGTAAATTTGATCGCTATGAGTCTCTCGAAAGTAACCAACATCAGATGAAGGTATGAAGCTATTTGCAATACAATCACAGATAAGACGAAGCAGTTCTCGAGTGTTTCACTCTCACTGAGACCGAGTAGAAGGAAAATCTGCCACAGGATAAAGAATGGCTGGGTAAAGAGACCAGTTAATACATCGGTCACCGCTAAACAGGACAGCAAGATGTTGCTGTTGGTACGGAGTCGAGGTGTCGTTTTTACAGCCTTTATCACCAGCACGTTTAGCACAACTGTGAAGGGACAAGCAATGGTGTTGATGATGATTATGACCATAGAACCAGCCACCGATGGAACATGTCCTGACTCGTCTTCTTTACTGGCCATGTTTGTAACCTTTGTATAACTAACCAAGGAAAAGTTTACGTTGTCGAGCTGGAAGCCCAATGCAAATCAAGTCTGTCTTTCGAAACAGCTTTCTCTACCAGTCATTCAATCTCGAATGAAAACGGAAAAAATTGAAAGCAAAGGAAATGTGGTACCATTAATAAAAGGTGGTTAAAGGATCTCCTGGGAATTACTCCTCAGTCCACATGTGCACAGCAACAATACAAACCACAAGTTAATCGGAAATGCTAAACGCCACCTAATTTGATGGATTCCTCTCAAGCACTGCCCATAAAAAATCTTAATCAGAAACTGATTGTGGTCTCTTTTTAATTACATTTTTTAGAAAGCTCTAAATGAGTTTTTATAAGCCCAAAATCGTTTCAGCCGGTAAAAGCTTGAACAAAGTTGTCGCGACAACTGGAAATAGCTCTATCGCCAGTTAACTTCTTATGTTACAACTTCAGGAGATTTTTTCGTTTTCTGTCGAAAGATTAATATCTCGTGCATGTTATGTTCATTAGTTTTCGTCCATCAACTAATATTTGCATAAGAAGAAAAATATGTATTAACTCATTTGACATCTATTGTACTATTGCGCCGTAGGTTTCAACAACAGAATTGCGCCGCGGTTTTTTTCTTGGGAATGTTATCGTTCGTGAGTTTCAAGCTTACCGTTTTAGTTTAATGATATCAGTTTAATGATTCTTAGTTTTATATTTGTATTTTGGTCATGTGTAAAACTCGGCTACTCCTTCCAAGCAATATTTCGTAATTCAAATCACTAAACTAATCCAGTATGACGTGGCAAGAAAATAGAAACATTGAGTCTTGCACATAAATAATACATGGCCATAAAATAGCCGCGATAAAAAAACCAAACTAAAACAGATGTCAAATAAATTGATTTATATGTCACAGATTTAGTTTTTATTTGAATGCAAATCTAATCTAACGAAAGAGAATTCTTCAGCTCATGAAACACGAAACATTTATCGAGAGATGAATAAGGAAAAAATCCTGAATTATGTGATGAAGTAAGTGAACAGGCAATCAAGCTATCAGGGACTGAAACGATTTTGACTTTTAAAAACACATTTGGCAATACCTGCAAATAATGATTAAAAATTGACCTAAATCACTTTGGGATTAACATATATTTATGGACAGAGCTTGAGGGAAATCCATCTGATTGGGTGGCGTTTAGCATTTCCGATTCCGCTTTGTTCTTCTCGCCATTTCAAGTATTCTCTTTCTTGAATTTTTTAGATTGCATAACTTGCACTTTTTGCAAAAAGTCATACGTTGGTGAAATAGGAAGACGACTTTGTGACCAACTTCGAGAACACTTTCGCGACGTAAAAAGGAAATACAAGGACGCATCCGAACCAGTCGCTAGGCACTTCAAACTCACTAATCATTCTAGGCAGGATATGGTAGTTTGCGGCCTTTCCCTACATCTGAGCATTTCAGAAAGCCACAAAACTCTAGAACAAAAACTTATCTTTCAAATCGGCACTCTTTATACTCACGGTATCAACGAGCGCTTTTCATTCAATCGACTTATTCTTGTTTTAATGTCACCATATTCCCGCCAGTAGCGTAGCTCCATTTTCTGCATATCAACACACACACAAACCACAATCAATATGTTTGATGGGCCTTCACGGGCAGTTGAAGTGTTAATTGCGATTTTTCTCCATTAAATACAACCCGTTTCCTTCTAGAGAAGTATCACACTATCAAGAGAAAAAGAGAAATTAAGCAAGCAAAATTTCAAAAGTATATACCCCTGATGTTGCTGAATGAATTTTTCCACAAGGAAGATTTAGGCCATCTCTTTACTAGATAATGCAATTTATTAACAGTTGTAAAAAACGAGAAACTCTAAACTCTAAACTAAACGTGCTAGCTCTATACTTGCATCATACTTGCACCTGACATACATTTCATCAAACCTCGTATCTGTCAGTGTTATCTGCCTCAGCCTTCGGCTTCAGCAGATACCTCAGACCTCGGCATTGATAAATTATGATATCGTGCTCAACCTCATCCACTCATTGCCTATGATTATTCCAGGCAGCCAATGCTAAAATTGTATTTTTAATACTTTATTTTTTGTGAAAGCTTTTAAGGCAAGAGGGAGTACAAACAAAGATTGTTGTTGCCGTTGTCAATTGCCCCCGTTCTTTATAGTTCTCAATAAACATTGAATGCAACTTTTTGCTTGTATTTTAATAGAGGAAATACTTAGTTGTTTAATCCTTTTAGATAAGAACTACGTGGTTTTCCTCAAATAGGTTTTTTTTATGCTGTTTCCTGAAGCTCGAGCTAAGAAATGCTTCCAAGTGTATGGGATTTGCTTCGTTTGCTGAATGCTAGAGTCAAGTTACACCACTAATGCCAGGCACTGTTGTTGTGTAATGTTCTTTTTAATTTTCAACAAATATAGTCCTTCAGGCCGCCCTTTTATTAGCTCGTAGCCTTTCCGATCGACTTCCTGCATGACAAGGATATTACCTTCTACCTAGAACACCTTTCAATTGAAGTTAAAAAAAATACCCAATTAAAGTAACCACCAATCTATCAACTGAGCTAACAAGCCAACTGGGAGCTGGTCATTATGTTGGTTCCAAATAAGCCCTCCTAGTGATGAATACATGAAAGAAAATATATGAAAATCATATATGTGCACTGCGGTTTAAGAAACGAATATAAGCGCTCCTCGCAGTAACGAACCCTACTGAACTAGTAGTGTACCGTACGGTCCTGAATTTTTTCCAAGCCTTATTTCAACTATTAGTTCAGTATTGTTCGTAACTGCGAGGATCGCTTAGGGTCGTTTCTACAACCGCAGTACACATATGTGATTTTCATATATTTGCAGTCGTGTATTGATAACTAACAGGTTTCGTTTATCGGTTTTGTATGTCTAAACGCACGGCCTGAGTTCTCATTCCGAAAATGACATTTCTCATTTCTTTTTGCCTCCAGCAATAAATCAGTGGATTAACAAGCGAGTTTAGCATGGCACATGTCTGCATCAACTGCACGTTGATGGGGAAAATATCATGAAGGCCTGTAACTACAACTATGAAAAAGAAACCAACTGGAAGAAGGCAAACAAGAACAGCACCAACGACAAAGAGGGTTGTTTTAAGTGCTTTGTTCTCTTTAAGAAATCTTTCCACATCTTCCTGAGGAAGATGTTGAGTTTTAATCTTGTCTTTATGGCGAGCAGTTTCTCGATACATAATAAGGTTAGCGAAAGTAAGAAAGAGAATACATGAAATGGTGAGAAGGCCTGTCAAAGAGCGCGCTGCTAACACCTTTTTCATTCCTCTTAAAATCCCATAAATGAACGCAATGATCCAAACTACTAACACAGCTATCTTCATGTTCTTCTCAGTCATAATGTTTGAGTACTGCATTGTTAATTTGATAGCTATGAGTCTCTCGAAAGTAACCAACATCAGATGAAGGTAGGAAGATACAAGGGTAACAAGTAGAGACGAGATGAAAGAAATTTTAGCCGTTTCACTGTTACTGAGACCGAATGTTAGGAAAATTCTCCACAGGATAAACAATGGCTGACAAAGGAGACCAGTTAATGCGTCAGTCACCGCTAAACAGGCCAGCAAGATGTTACTGTTGGTACGGAGTCTAGGCGTTGTTTTCACAGCCTTTATCACAAGTACGTTGAGCAGAACTGCGCAGGGAAAAGAGATGGTGTTAATGATGATTATGATTATGGAACCAGCCAACGATGGGACTTCTCTGTCGCCTTCTCTTCTGGTGATGTTTGTAGTGTTTGTAAAAGTAGCAAAGGAAAAGTTTACCATCTCGAATTGGAATCTCAATGCAAGTCAAGTCTGTCTCTAGGAACAACTTTTTCAACCCGTCGCTCTCGCATGAAATCGGGAAACGGCAAAGGCAAAAGAAACCTACAGCTATTTCTAATGAGTGGTTTAAACATCTCCTGGGAATAACTTCTAACTTCACATGTGCCCAGCAACAATACAGAACAAAGCTGGATCAGAAACACTCAACGCTGCCCAATCAGATCGATTTCTCTCAATCTCTTTCCAGTAGTAAATTTTAATCCGAAAATGATTAGGCCATTTTTAATTAGCCATTCCAGATATTGTCAAATGTGTTTTTACAAGTTGGCAGGTTTTCCTTAGATTTAGCTCACCGTTTTAGGTTCGTCAGTAATTAAAGACTTTCATTAAAAATATTAGTTTCTATCACACCGGTGTAAAGCCTATTCCTGATAGTGCTCGACAACATTTCAGTAACTTTTGACGTTTCCAGCCATCTCGGGAATGTTCTTTTTTGCCTTTTTGAGAAATTTTTGAGCAAAATATAAGCTTAGAGCACATATCAAGACAAAAAAGTCAACGATTTTATAGAAAACCTCAGTTTCTGCGAACTTTATTCATTTTTATCAAACTTTTGAACATATTGCGATCCTTCTCTAAGATTATAAGGGACAATCGGCTGAAATTTTTAATGAAAGTCTTTAATTGCTAACGAACCTATAACGGTGAGCTTTTGACTGACAGTGATTTACACGTAAATGGTGATGAAAAAGCCCCGATGCAAATACGTTTCTCTAAGCCCATGGCGCCAAGGCAAAATAGACGTCACGTGAATTCATAAAACAAACTTTATTTCAAGGCAAACCTAAGATTATAACGGATAATGGGCTGAGGTGACTTTTGGAAAGACGTCAAGTAAACCTTAGTGTTTTGTTCCGTTAGACTCAAGACTCTTCTTAAATTTCGCCCATGTTTGCAAGTAACTCTTTGAAGCAAAGTTTCGAGCTATTTTTCGTGACCGATGTTATTAACAATTATTTTGAACACCGAAAATAAAGCTTTCAATCAACGTTTACTTAAAAATATCAACAAATCTAGCTAGTAGCTTTTGAAATTAAGATAGCAATTTTTGGATTTTTTTCGAAGTTTGATAGCAATTTTTTAAGCATTTTAGTGAGA